AGTATAAGTTTTTAAGTGTTTAAATAGGTATCAAGTTTAAAACACTATGAATTTAAAAAATTTAAATCAAATATCAAATATAATTTATACTTTTCTTATACCAAAAAAAAAAAAAATGCTTATTCCTAAAGCAAACCCTCTTTTAATTAATTGAAATTCCTAGCTGTGTCAAACACGAAATGTTATGTCCAGTAGAATTTTCGAATTTATATCTATAAGTTAGCCTTACAAGCAGAACATGGCTAGATATGAGCAAGAGGGCATATCATCAGGAACCTAAGGACACTCTTTCCTCCTATTTATAACCCATAAGAAGGACCTAATTACCTGTATGAGATCGAAACAATCTGCTGCCGTTGACGATCTTATTGAGAAAGATCAGCACCAGTAAATTTTTTAGCTATCAAAGTATTCTCAAGTCAGCTTATACATATTATAAAATCAATTTTTTATCTGATTAAAAACATTATTTATAATAAAATTTATAAATTCATAAAAGTTGATCTTTTTAACTTTGTTAGAAACTAAATCTTATTAAAATAAAAGGTGACGTTATTGTCATACCTTCAATTATTAATACCATATATTTTTATCTTAATTAATTATTATATCTTTTAATTTATTAAAAAATAAATAAAAATATAATATAAAAATATAATAAGTAATTACATTAAAGAAAATATAATGACAACTACTTAAAATATAACAACAACCACCACTAAAATAGAAAACAATCCCTTGTCAATTCAACCATTACACTTGAAGTGCTAACATCATTAATTTCCTGCAAGCTAAATTGACCGTACAGCCGCGAACTAATTAATCACATCTCATCCTTTTTCCGCAATGATCCAGCCTTGAAGAGATCAACATGTGGTTCAAAGGAATCTTAACAAAGGAACAACTCCCCGCGCCAAAGCAGCCGCAAGCCCGCATAACATGAAGCATGGCTGCCACTCTTTAGAAGCAATTCACCTTGCAGTGCAGGAAGAGAGGATCCGAGTTCTCTTCTAAACTCCCCCCACACCCCAATAAAAAAAATAATAATAATAAGTTTAAACCCTCAATTTAATCCCTCAATTATTGTATAAATCCTTGATTTAGTCTTTAGACGAAAAAATTTCTTAATTTGATTCATACTATATTTATGGATTTAACCTTAAGTTAGTCTTTTCATACAAAAATAATTGACACATGTTTCATTATTAACGTAATATGTGACCATTAAATAACAATTTTTTGACATTAAATAATATATACATCAATTGTTTTTTAACAAAACAATTAATTTGGAGTTAAATTAATAAACAGTAAATATCAAATTAAGTATTTTTTT